GACATGCAGTTTCATATGAAATATTTGTAGTAGTAAATAAAAATGCCTGGTGTGATCATAATAATTAGAAAAATTGCCAGTTTCTTAGTTATTTCGAAATAGCTACGTATGAGTTTTGCTTAATTTGTCTCATACACTTTTATCTTGTAAAAAAAAGTGCAAACAATTAATAGTCTGTCTCTGCAAGTACACAAAGTAGTAAAGTAGAGATTTTCTGAGATTTACTCTCACAGAAATGTTGAAACTCAGTTGAAGATGGTTGAATATCGTTATATGCGGTGGTATTATTTATCACATGTAAATAGAAGAGAATATGCGATTAAGAAATGAAGCTAACATTATGCTGTAAAGAAATGTGAAATTCAACTTTCTAGTCTATTCAGAAATGTGTTGGAGAAAAAATTCAAGAAGTAACACCAAGCATAAGTAATTATTTTTTTACACCCTATGGTTCCTTTTTTTTTAAATCATATCTCAACGAACTGGATTAAATTATGTACGTATAAATTCGTTCTTTATGAACTTTCTTGTTAAATTAATTACTTCATAATCTTGCTAATTCTTCTAATTCACTGGAAAACTATTAATTGTAATTCAAGCAGACATAGATATGCGTTGGCCCAAGTTCTCATTACTAAGTTAGCATGATGAAATTAAAATAGCAAAAGAGATGTAGTAGCAATGATAAAAAGAAAAAAACTGAGCTACGGAAATCTGTTTCGAAGGACATTGTAAAATTATGTATGAAAGAATCATGAGATCCAAGATCAAGTGAAAAATAGAGAGTGAATGCATCTAGCAGCATCAGGGTTACCGGATACATGAAGAATAAATCGGGCTGCTTCTTCTTTATATCCTGGGACACCCAAGTGCGCAACGCTGCTATTAGGAAACGGGTGCTAGGTAAGAATGGCAGATCAATAGATGAAGTGCTGAAACTTCATCAGTTGAGGTGGTTGGGACATGTGCTGCGTATGCCTAACCACTGACTGCCTCGACGAGCTTTGTTTTGTAGTGTAGGAATAAGTTGGAAGAAAGCTAGAGGCGGCCAAACCAAAACATGCAGAAATCCATGAAGTCATTGACAAGTGGACTGAGTCATATTGGTAGATGTCGACTACCTGGTTGGGGTCCGCGAGATGATATTAATCTATGGTTAGATACCCTGAATGACATGGCTCAAAACCGTTTGCAATGGCGCAAGTGCATTTATTCTTTGTGTTCTCTCAAATCCTAATCTTCTGGATTCTTCAACCCCTCTAGTTTTGACTTCTCACTGAATCATATCTCTTGAATATCTCCTAATCCTAAACTCTCCGATTACTTCTAATACCTTTACTACCTCTTCTACTATTGGATTTGAATTGACAGTTATATCTCTGTGCTGATGTGGTATGGCGACATGAACTGATGTACTTACGTACGAAGTTCTATGTTGCACCTGACTGGCTGACACCATTGTGAGTGGTTCTAAACTTTGTCACCCAGTATTTCTAACAATCAACTCTAATAATTTTCCACACCTTAAGCAAGTAGTTTACATTTCTCAACATCTAACCAATCGTCATTGACCTCATAGACTAACTATATGTCTTGGTTTTTCTGCTTTCTTCTGATCTATTTCTGCGCTAGCAAGCATCTCTTGTCGGTAGTCAGGTGTGTGTAACTTATGTCCTAACCACTTCCATCAATGAAGATTTACGACCGTATTAACCAATTTGTCATCTTTATTGAGTACTGTATTCTTAATCTCTATATGAATCACTTAGTCGTCCCACAAAGCGCGGACAATACTTAAAAGACATGTGTGACCAACAACTACAATGCACACGTTCCTCCTACTTCCGAAGACAAGTTGGCAACCAACCAACCGAGCCTTCATAATCCATGTCAAGAATTCGTCGGACACTGACCCACAAGGGTTTGTGATACTCCTAGAATAAGTGAAGTGGTCTATAAAACCAATTGATTTGCCCTCTAACATCACTTCAGGCGTTGATGCCAACCACTCTTAAAGTATTATTTAGAGAGAGAAAAAAGCAGATCTCAAGCATCCTTGCATTACTGCTGAAGGCGATCTGTATCTTTATCAAATAGTACTTTACGTTAATTGTAATTCAACTACTTTTAGAAAAAGATTATTCTTCTTAATCATATAAAAAATTAAGTTTTTCACTAAACACAAAAAGTTAATTAGCATGCATCTGATTCCATTTTTATTTCTTTTGTGTTACTACAGTGACTAGGATGTTTAACTTATTTTCCTGATTTTGATATGATTAATCGGTTAGTAGGTGATTTCTCTTTTTCTCTGGTCTATACATTTAAATTGTATGTGTATTTTTGTTGTTGATTTCTTCGCTTCTCATATTTTTTAAGGTGATGGGCAAGTGAATGATCCACATTTTCCTCCCAGTCAACTTTTATCGCACGGTTTGGGCATAAATCCTGCTGTTACTAAAAATTTGAGCGAACCATCTCAATTCATTGTGAGTACACTGCATTGTGAACTTTTTCATCATAGTTTTAATGTTTTAAAGCAATTCAGTTAATATGCTTCCTATAAATGTCATGTTCTCAAGTACATTTATGGTTTAATCTAGTAATTGTAGTTTTAAATAAAACTATGTATTTTTTATGACGGGTATAACAAAAAAGTGCAACCGTGTAGGGTTGCTTGCACTACTGAACTTATTAGTACTTAGGTCTAGAATAGTTGACGTTTGATCAAAACTTCAAATATGAAAACATACATGAAAAAGCGTTCGAAGTCTATTGATGCAGTGTAGAGTATAGTGTTCGTCCTACAAATTTACTGCTAGTCAATTCATGAGAAAATCTGACTTCAAAAAGACAAGGATCATCATCGTAAGTCCTGGCTCAGATATAGAGGTGCGTCGTCACTGGTTGCCTCTCCAGATCTGCAAAACGAAATGGAAATTGCAAATGAGGTTGAAATAATGTGATATCAATGATTTGAAAAGACGAGGTGAAAGGGTATGTATGAGGGTATTCTAGAATTCAAAATCAAAGTGGGAAGATAAAGAGTAAATGTATATGCACCATCGTGTGATGATTCTAAGCCTTGTCACCCAGTGTCTTTTGCATGGACTATTGTCACGTTTTGATTTGAGCATCAAATGCTCTAGTCTTTAGCTAATTTAATCTTTGTATAAAAATGATTACTCATTTAATACAAACAGTATAATTCACTCAACATCTCTAAGTACGTGATCATTGATGATTCATTGATTTACACTTGTAACATGATTATTGGATATCTACCATTTCAGTAACTGTGAGACTACATGCCAATGACAATACAGTTCATGTTTTGAGATTTTCTATGTATCAAAACAACATATATCCGATTTTCGACTAATCACATTACATTATAAATAATTGTTTTTCTGTTTTGTTGTTGAATTTACAAGCCACCATCACCTAATTTCGCTGTTTGGCCTGAAAATAATCCTCCAACATACTCATCCATTGCAACAGCACAATCAAATCCAAACGTTATTTCTTCGAATCAATTGTTCGGATCGTTTGCTTTCACTAATAACTGTAACCCTGCTAATCCATGCATGAACACTGCTCAATCATGGAATATGAATCAACCAGTACCAAATCAAACTTTTGGGAATTTTGTTTCTCATTCAACAACCAACAACATGGCACCTAACAATGAAATGTATTTATCTCAGGTAATGATGCATGATTGATTAGCTCTTTTGACATTCAATCCCATTCAAGATAATGTGTAGGAGACGGGATCGAACTCCGTTGGGAAATGATGGAGGTATACGATAGATCACCCGAAAAGATCTAGATTTATCTACAATGTGACCACTATCTACCAGGTGTGCTAAGATAGAACTGCATATTGTTTTTGACTTCCAGGCAACTTAACCAACGAATGAGTGAACATCTCCCAGCATGGTTTACGAAGGGTCAGTCAAAAACAATACGCAGTTCTATCTTAGCACACCTGGTAGATAGTGGTCACATTGTAGATAAATCTAGATCTTTTCGGGTGATCTATCGTATACCTCCAACATTCAAGATAGTTTTTCTGATGAGTCGGAAAGCCATTAAAGCACAAGGAACAGTAGATAGCTGCTATTTTACCATAGTTTTGAACTCATTAGCAGTGCGAACCGGTTATTCAACAAAGAATTGAACCCATTATCTTTCGAGTCCCAGTGATCACATTTCCAACTTTGATTATTTTACGATACAGATATTTTTGTTATCAAGAATCGTTCAAGTTCCTTGTCCTATCTCTCATAGGTGTACAATAAGTTCTAAACTACAACGAAACTGTCGTGTAGTTTTTTCGTACATCGTCAACAATTCGCCAAATAAATTCAAGTGATAAACGGTGCTTTTATGTTATATACGTACTACTGAAGTTTTGTGTTTTTCTTATCCATAAGCATGTTGCTCAAAAAAAGCTTAAGTTCTGTTTGTTTAACCTTAAAGTGCTTTGAATAAAACTTCTCAATGTAATTGACAGTTTTAACTGGTCGACTTTTCATTCATTACGCGACGACGTGCATTTTGCGATCGTACACATTGAATCAGACAGAGTCACTGATTTCCTCTTTAACTTCGTCTCTATCTATCAAAAGGTTTTGTTTCTTAGCGAGAATTTCTATCACTCGGTAACTGTACTAAATAAAGTCAGTCAGTCAGTCAGATGCAACATAGAACTTTGTACATAAGTATATCAGTTCATGTTGCCATACCACATCAGCACAGAGAAGTAATCGTCAATTCAAATCCAATAGTAGAAGAGGTAGTAAGGGTATTAGAAGTAATAGGAGAGGTTAGGGTTAGAAGATACTATTCAAGAAGTATGATTAAATGAGAAAAGTTTAGAAAGTCAAAACTAGAGGGGTTGAAGAATCCAGAAGATTAGGATTTGAGAGAGCTCAAAGAGTGGATGCACCTGCGCCATTGCGAACGATTTTGAGCCATGTCATTCAAGGTGTCTAACCATCGGTTATTATCATCTCGCGGATCCCAACCCGGTAGTCGACAATTACCGACATGGCTAAGTCCACTAGTCAATGACTTCATGGATTTCTGCCATATTTTGGTTTGGCCGCCCCTAACTTTCTTCCAACCTACTCCTACACTACAAAACTAAATAAAGTTCCATTTCAATAACAATGCTACACTACATAATATACTTATTCATCTTTTAATTTCAGGTTAAAAGCCAATTGACTTCATTATATCTTGGCAAAAGTCCATTGAATTCATAAGCCACTGTCAACCAACCGTTCAATAGTCTGAGCAAATTTAATAATCATCGTCAAATGTGCATATCTATCTATCCATCTTTTAGAAAAAAAAAATATAAACAAATTTTTCATGTCACTTCGTACCATATTGTTTTTATCATAAATTTACTGTGATATAATAATATTGTTAAGAAATAAGGGAATCGATCACATGTTTAACGCTACAATTTATTTCAAATTTTCTATCATCAATCGAAATCTTTTATTTTATCGGGACAGCATTTTAATCCGAATAGTCCGTTTTAGACGTATATATACAGAAATGTCTGTGTTCGTTAGCTTCTTTTTCTTCAAAATTCTCACAATTACTGTTTTTCTAAGTATACACTGATTACAAATCAAATTGTCGCTGATATTGTTTTTCCCGAAAATATTGATTTCACAGTTTTACAGTTTTTTCTGACCTTAATTTCCTCATAATCAATGTAGACTGACTGGATGATTAGGCAGACAATACTTGTTTGTTTCACATGTCTCTTATTCTTTATTAACTATTTTCTTTGTGTTTAAAATGGAAGACAAAATAGGTTTTTTTTTGTTGTAATGATCCGTTTAATATGAAACTTTAAATATGTTCAACTTTATATTTCCCTTCACAATATTTTAATTAATTTACTATTTGTTGTTGTCGACTGCACTATTTTCATTAAGTTTTTGTTTTGGAAAAATTTCTTAAAAAAATATTTTCTTGTTTGATATGGTTTTTTTGCTGTTATTGTTCAATTGTTTAAAAATGACGGAAAATTTGAATAATCGCGTTCATAGAACTAAAGTAGCTGGTTAGTCACAAAATAATTTCACTTTTATCTGCAAAAAGTATTTGCGTCCTCTTATATTGACAGTTACGTCTCTGTGCTGACGTGGTATGGCGACCTGAATTGATGTACTTATGTACGAAGTTCTGCGTTGTATCTGTCTGTCTGTCCTCTTACATTGCCAATCAAGAGCAGGACAGTCTGATCGACATTTCTGGCAGAGGCAACGAACCATTTGAACCTTTCGTCCAAGAAGTCATTAATTGTTACTAATAGGGTTTCTGCTCACTTTACAAATCGTTTCGGACACCCGTACTTGATGCCAATTACTCGGATGAGTTCAAACAACTCTCAACAGTTAGTAATGGCAGCTGCTACTTCCTACCTTTAAGAGCGCTTAGACCATCAGGTTCTAAGCCCTTCGTCAGCACAAGACACCGAACTCTAACATCTGCCGTACTAAAGCAAGACGTTAATTACTTCAAGCGGAGTGTGTGAAGCTTAGTAAAGATTAAACATGTTACATCTGGGATTCTCTTTTGCAACAACTTTACTAGTTTGCTATCTTATAGGAATTAAAAGTCGAATGTGAAGTTAAAAATTGAGTGTATTCTTTGTAACACGAAATTATATTTTCGTAGGAGGAATTGCAGAGAACATTGAATTTCTCAAAGCATTAAAATACATGTAAAAAAAATAATTTTGATGATTAAAGAATATATCACAGCAAGAACACTATCAGATCACCATTAAAAAATGGAAGAAACTTTAAAATTCCAGGTTAATTTGGTCTTCAGATAATTTTTAATCGAGAGTAAATTTTTTTAAAAAAAAAACACTAAGAATATGCACCACAGAAAGCTATTTTGGAAGAAATATTGCACGCTTTCCTTTTTATAATACCATTCATTGTTTACGGACGCCAAACTGCAGAAATATAACTACTCCAATTAGAGGAAGCAGGATTTTGTTGTTGATTAGATGAAACACAAATAACACTATGATTTAAACCTTCTTCTAATAATTCCAATTCGTTTGGTTTTAAAGAAAGAAATGTAGCCAACGCATGCATAAGATGATTACGTTCTGAGGATTGTTTGGGCAGTGTGATAATTTTAAGTAAAATATTTTTCAAATGTTCAGCCAATACACTATTGTTCGATTCCAGAATATCTTCATTTTCTGTACTTTGTACTTTTAATGTAGTAGGATTGGAGTTGTTTTCAAGACGTCGAATTTCTTCTTTCAACACCTAAAAATTAGGTAGAAGAAATCAGTTCAAGTTAATAATGATTAATGGATTTTTTTTAAATAACACGTTAGTATGAAAGTTATGTTATGGATCAATAATCAATATGAATTAATCAAATCTTGGCAAGAAATGTGATCTACAGTAAATCAATGGTCACACTTTGGGGTTGTTTATGAAGGCCTGCCTATCTCATCCACAAACTGACCACCTACTTTGAATAGTTGACATTTAATTTAATTAGATCTGAACAATCACATTATCTTCCTCCACCTAAACAGTCTATTAGATGATTGACCTATACAAACCGAAAGTTGCTTAACGTAATTTGAAATTTCAATCGGAACACTTAATCCTTGTTACACACGTGAACTACCATCGAAATACTATATCCATGCTTTTTAAGAAGTAGATAAGAATAATATCTGACTACGTGGAGTAGCAAAGCAAGATTATATAGATTCTAAAAGTTGATCTAAAAAAGACTATTCATATCCGTGAATGTTTGCAAACCCTTTTGCAAGTATCCTAGGAACAGAAATATATATATATATATATGCATCTTGTATGTGTACAGAACCAGCCACTTGAGTGAGTACGAAGATTTTATTATCTAACCGAATCGAAATAACATACAGACTCATTCAAAAAAATATACATTTCCCAATTGGAATGAGTCTGTGTAGGCTTCCCTTCTTGCACAGTTTTGCAGCTTAATCCATCATAAGAGTCCGTATGATGTTGACTATCTTAGGTACATTGTAGTGTTGAGGAAACCTCTGCAGTGTCATCCTGTCCACACTGTCGAATGCTCTCTCGTAGTCAAAGAAGTTGACGTACAGCGGTGAATTGCATTCATCTAATTGTTCCACAATGATCCGTTTAGTCACAATTTGGTTGGTACATGGTCGATCTTTACGGAATCCAGACAGTTGGATCTTCCAATCGGTTCAACAACACTCTGTAGAGGAATTTTCCTGATATTTGGAGTAGTTCTCACACTTGCTGAGATCTCTTTTCTTTATTATCTTGATGGTTTCCTTCTCTTTAGTCTGTTGGTACTTGTTATTTCTCCCAAATCTTGTTGAATAATAGCGTGCAACATCTTTGTAGTTACTGCACTATCTGCATAAACACTACAACACTTCAAATCGTAACTGATTGATAGAGCAGCTATACTTAAGATCACAAAATTTAATTTCTCAAAGTTAACTAACTATTCAAGCAATAGAAAGCTGTAATTTATGTCAATGTAAAATGTTAATATGAAAAGAACAATGTATTTTGTTTGTGTACGATTGTGTCAGTCTAATTCATGTGAACAGTATATACGTAGTGCTGATAAGCAATTTTATTAAAAATTTACTACATAATACATTTTTTTTTAAATAGAAGTACTTTGTTCGATATCATTTTAGTTAAATAAATTTTGCGTGGATTAATTTTAAAAAAAAACTATAAATAAATACATTGGAGAACTAGAAATCATACATGCTCTGCTCTTAACAGCATGAACAGCACAGTTCAATGTTGGTTAGAAAAACTACACAAGATTATGTATTATATTAATTGATTCTTAAAAATACATTAGTATAGTGTGTAATATAGAGTAGTGTGCTTACTTTGTTTTGTTCAAATAAACGAGTTACTTGCATTTCACTTTCACTTAATAATTCAGAAAGATATTCAACTCGACGTTGTTGAGTGGTTAAAGCAAGCTGTAAACCAGTTGATTGATTAGGCTGTACATTACGAACTTCTTGAAACGATTTGCTAGAAAGTTGAGATGAAGTATTTTCATATGATGAATATTGATTAGAATGATTAAGAAGCTGTTCCAAAGTGGGTATAGTAACCTGAAGAAAAATTATTAATGGAAATCGGTTCAGTGTGTTGTTTTGATTGATTAAATATTATTAATCGTTAAGGTATTGATTTTTTTTAAGTTTATGTTCAAAATGTTTATTTAATAATAATTCATCTAAAAGACTACTGTTTGGACTCTACTCTTACATTGTTCAACCAAGTGAACAAACTGAAGTCCAACCTGCTAAATCGTATTGTTGTCAGCTGATTCTTAAAGTTTTTTATATTTGAGCACAATTATTGATGCATAAGAGCATTAAAATCTATATGCGTCACATCATTTACAGAGTGAGTTGGAATACCACCCGGGAGATAAAAGGTCTTCATTTAAAAGAGTTATGATGTCTCGTGATGAAAGCCGAGTTCCTTCGGGAGTCACGAGGCCGAAGACCCTTCTGACAACCAGAACCCTTGCATGGCGTTGGCAGCCGGGAAGTGGCAAACATCCTAATAACTCTTATCTCCACGAACAACCCTTCTTTCGTTCCTTTGTCACCTCGCGCCGCTGATGCAAACGATTCGAGATCACGGGACGTTTATCCGTGGTCTCCTGAAACTCCACTCTGAACTACGTGTTTGGACCATGTGTCAAATAGGAAAACAGCCTTCATTAACTAGGACTCTGGAATCCCGCGCCATCGATGTATGTCGCGTCTCCGAAACGCGCATACAAGAATCCGAGTAAAATCATCAGTCTGATTTCACCTTGTTCAGATAAAGAACCGTCTCGGCTTATGTTTCTGTATCTGGAAGCCCCACTTCCGTTTCCCGTTGTATCGCTGGTGTAGGTATAGTACTAAGTCGTAGAACAGAACTAACTCTCTTAGACTGGATCTCGATAGACAGTCGCTTATGCGATTCGACTAAACGGGACAGTAAGGACTCATCAAGATGGGGAAACTCTCCATTGCCTCACCTTCGTCTATGCCTACGCCCCAACTGAATGCAGCTCAGGCGAGATAAAAATTGAGTTTTACAGAAAGCTTTCGGACCTCCTCCAAAAAGTAAGGCACTTTGATATAGTAATAATGGCTGATGACTTCAATGCTCAAGTAGGTAGACTCAGTTACAAGGAAAGACACCTGGGTGGATCTTAAAGTACCGTAGCTCAAAGATCAGAAAATGCCAACCGTCTGCTGCAACTATGCTCGCCTATTTCTAGCAAGCACTTTTGACCTAGCGACCCCCAAAGCCGACCCAACCTAATCACATCGCTATCGGTCATCTGTGAAGAGGCTCTTTTGAAGACTGCTCCTAATTCTGGAGCACTATTTCAGATCTATATCATGCTCTAGTGCGAGCGCGTATTTGTTTGAGGCTTACTATACGTAGGAAAGACATAGCAAAGAAAGCTCTTACTTACTTAGTAGTAACAAAACTAAGAATATATTTCAGGAACAACTAGAAAAACAGTTAGGCGACCATGTAAGCGATTCCCATCTGGAGGCTGCTTGAAATGATATCAAAAAGGCTGTGGAAACAGCGGTGATATCTGCTAGTAAGGTAAAACATTAGCTTAGGAAGAAACAATGGATTTCAGTAGCGCCCACTGAACTGATGGATGCATTGGAAACTCATCCTGTCTGGCCCTGAACATGGTGGTGGGTGGAGTCAGCTTAAACTCAGTATGATAACAAGCCTACGTAACGAACGCAAAGTGGTGGGTAGAGAAAGTAAGAGATAGAGAAAGGGCAGCGGCAATAGGTAACGGTCGACAACTATTCAGACTTATCAAGGAAACCGGTATTAGAAATCGTACTATTAGCAAGACTATCTCGGAAAAGGATGGGCGTATTATTCATTCTCAACCCAGTAAAATGAATAGATGGGTAAAAATCTTCAGGGATCAGTTCAATTGGCCTTCAGCTACACTTCGGTTACCCACGATCCCCAGTCATCCTGAATGGCAAATCGATATGAGTCCTCCGAGTCTTTATGAAGTTCAGAAAGCTTTAGGAAATCTATAGCGAGGTAGAGCAGCAGGACCCGAGAGATTGACCCCTGAGATTTTTAAGGATGGTGGTCCAGTTTTAACAGTTAGATTTACCGAGATCTTAGGTAGAATCTGGGAACTAGGCGTAATCCCATGCGACTGGTCTCAATCGCTGATTGTCCCAATCTATAGGAAAGGACAAAAGTCCTCTGCCGCTGCCTTTACCATCTCTTATGCTTTCGCCACCTACCACACTGACAAATTTGGTCTCGTTTGCTGTTACGGGTATGAGAGAGAATGTCACTTCTCGACCGCCCACACAGTGGGAGGGAATTTCTGTTTAAGGAACCTGCAAAGGAAGTCGGATTAGCGTTGGTCTTAGAGACCTGGGTGCGTGACTACAGAGCCCAAGGGACAACTGCTTGGGGTCGGTCACGCACGACCTTTTAATGGGACGTTTTGGAAGTGCTGGCCCCGCTCTTTTAAAGGTCTTATCGCTGGAGACAGGAATCTGTGGGGTAAGGTGAATTGTGACGTTTTTAGGGACGACCTTTTCTAAACCCTTCTTTCCATTGTGATAAGACAGCATCGCTGCAGATGCTGATTGTCAGACGGAAACGCCTTATAACTGTTACACTCCTCTAATGTCAGCATTACAACTACTCCCTCAGACCTTAAGTTACTGCTTTTAGTCTCTTGTTCTCCAATCGACCTGCCAGGAATGGTAAGACCTAAAGGAACTTATGTTGCATCCAATACAGCTGAGTTGGGTCATCACAATAAGCAACCCCGATCACCGCGTCAAAGTAGTAGCTATGGTCGGGAATTCTGAGTAATATCATACATGATACCCTCCCTTAATTAGGAAGTCTTCGTGGAGACAATACAACTGTATAAACAATTACCCATCGGCGCAATCATATTTAAAATAAGCGTTTTCTGTGGGGATCAAATGTACTATCAGAATGCTTTATTCAAAGTTGGTGGGACAAGGTCTGAAACTGAAACAGTTACGGTCTAGTAATACATTGTTATTTTTCTTAATAACATTAATATATTCACAGATGCGAAATGATAAAACAGGATATAACATTTTTTTATCTAGAATCCGAAACTTTACGCAGCATAACTCAAATTCGACTAAAATAGCATGTGAACTGCAGCGAATTTGACTAACACCCTGCCTGTGTCTGGTTTGGAGCGAAGCTCATCAATTTACCAGTGCAAATTAATCAAACATAATTTGAAATATGGAGTACACTATTCTCATAAGTTGCAGTTAATACTTATTTAAGCAATGATGTATTACAAAAACTTACTCGATGTGCAGATTTCTTAGAAGTTTCTTCATCTGCCAATGAATAGTGCTCACTACCATTACGACTTATAGAGCAATTTCTAACTGCATGATCTGATTCTGTGTCAGATTCAATGGAGGAAACTATAGAATTATCTGCTCCATCTCCTTGAACTCTTTTATAGTGAGGGTTGGCCTGAAAAAAATTGTATTATTTGAATTGAACGTAACTAATTTCTTCATAATACACAACTATGAGAATAGTGACATACTCATGGAATTTTCTAAAAGAATAAATAACCCAACTAATTAGAAATGAAGTTATGAACTGAATCACACAAGTCTACAACAGTTATAGTTAATGATAGTAATGTATGGGTTGCCTTTAGACTCTCAGTAGTACATGTTATCTATAATCCGTTTAACATTCCACTTGTAGCTGCTAGTTATCAAGCTCATTACACTATTCCATTAGTTCCTTTTACCTGTTTTCAATAGTACAAAATTCTAGCCTAATAAGTAATAGTTACAGTTACTTCCTATAATTCGCTTTACATCTTGGTACATTTTCCTACCGTATGCATGTAAAGTATGGTAATTTGAGTTAGTATACACTAGTACCAAGAATTACGTTGACTGGGCAACTTCATTGAAGGGCAACAAGTAAAAAAGCAATGAGAAGGAACTTGCAACGAAGAACAATAGCCTATTACTGGTATTTATAAGAGAATAGTTCAACAAAGGTGATGATTAGTAGTAGAGCTTTAAAACGAATGTGATTACTACTTGAGACTCAGTTATATTACCAATTGCCTAAACTGAAGTTCATAGAGCGGTGTTTGGACGTAGAAATCACAAACTTACAGTCAAGTGTTTTAACTAAGAAGCCACTGCCTCTTTTGGACAAGCAGTTGAGTCGATGGGAGGACGGAACTACAAAACGGTCAGTTTATAGGAGGCCAACATGGACCAGACAAGATGTATATTTTCACAGTTTTTGTCCACTGCAACACAAGCGAGGCTTGGTAAAATGCCTCTTCAATAGGGCAAAAAGAATATGCACTACAGATACATTTGAAGACGAAGCGACACTCTTGACTGAGACACTGATTTCAAACGGTTTTCCACCAAAGTTTATAAATAGGTGTAAAAATCTGTTAAGACAAAAGCCTCTCTTTTACTCTGTCGAAACGAAAAGTGTTTATGTCTCTTTACCATTTAGAGGTGAATCAAACGGTTTAATCTGAAGATAGAGACTAAAAGCAGCCATAGAGAAAACATACCATGCTGTTACACTGATTACAATTGAAAGGACTATGCCCATGATTCCAAAAAGGCTAGACATTGCCCGAACGATTACATCACATCCCATTCCATCTATCGGTTTACATGTTTGTATGGACAAATACATAGGGAGAAGTGATCGGACATTGCAATCAAGGGTTATGGAATATGTTCTTAAATGGCTTCCGATTCAGTTAATGTCAGATGACCCAATACACGTGAGAAATAGTAAAACCACGTTGATCGATGGCAATACACAAAATTGAAATGAGGGATAGCATCGACTTCAATACAGCTTTTCAAACGTTGCATAGAAATGTTCAAGAACGAATTCTGAGATTTTTATGGAAGCCTTAACTATTTGTAAATTCAAACCTCCCTTATGGGTCCGGAAACAATTTGTTATGACCTTAGAGTTGCCCTGGTAATCTTTAAACCATTTTATGGCCTAGGGTAGTGTGACAATTCCTTATTCTTTTTATACTATTTTAATTTTCTCTTTCCTTTATTTACAACTATCTATCACCTTGTTTTTTTTTCAACTTTTATTGAATTGAACTTTTATTGTTTATCACATAAAATGCCTTGACACACATATATGTGTGTGGCCTGATTGTATGCGGCCAGATCAGATCAACTATGTCTTCTCATTGTTCTATCATAATACATACAGAATTGCCCAAATTTTTTTAAAATAGATATAAGGCTCTAATATAACAAACAGCTAATAGAATACATTATTTAAACTTTTTTAATAGTTATGACATTGCTTTAGTTCTTTTATATAGATTGCTTTTTAACGGAAAGCAAGTCATAGACTTTGGACTTCTGATAAGTCAACAAACAAAGAAAGAACATATTTCATTATATTTAAAGTTTATGAATATTATGGATATTATGAGTAAAAATATATTATCGATTTACTTGTTTCATATTTGATGTCGACATAAATTTTTTGTTCTTAGTAGTACAAAAAGTAGTATAAAAAGTTTCAATATTTAGAGTAAAACATTAAACTGTTATTTAACTCTCAATAGCGACGACAGACAAAACTAAAAAAACAATGAGCTGGCACAAATTGATACAAATAAATAATATCTGATATAAATAACGAGACTAAACGATGCGTCACACTATAGTATGTATAAAGCCACTAATGAATGGCAACATCGTATGTTATTGAGATAGAAAACATACCAACAGTGATGTAGACTTTCAAGGCAGAGACGCAATATGAACTGAGACCATTAATGACAAACTGGTTAGCATATTTAATGCCAATTTAGAATACCCTTAATCAAATAATAATAATAATACTGCAAAACCAGAAAACTTACGCTTAAAGGATTAAAATTATCGGGTATTGAGAAATTTCGTCGATGGCCACAAACTTGTCCATTTCTGGAAGAGTTCTGACTAGGTGAATTATTTGTATGAATGATATGAGCTAATTTTGTCTCCCATAACTCTCTTTCTTGACTAAAATAGAAAAAAACAATCAAACTATTTATCATATGAAATATACTGAATGTTTATTTGGTAGTGGAACTGGCTGGATGATTGTTCATCTCTCTCTTTTTTTCTGTGTTTATTTTGAAGTCTATGGCAGAAACTATGCATCTTTGCTAGATAACGCTGTATATTTATCAATATCAAACAATAAAATGCAAGTTGTATTCGAAGCAAAAGAATCGGAAGTTATCCAGCTGTTTGAACTATTATCAGACGGTAATTTCAGTCAGATGCAACGTAGAACTTCGTACGTAAGTACATCAGTTCATGTTGCCATACCACATCAGCACAGAGATGTAATTGTCAATTCAAAT